CATTTTTATAGACTTTAGGACTAAAATGGCCCCATCGAGATAGTTAGGTGTCTATTTTGATGCTTTAATCTTTAAAGTTTTTATCTTGTTTACAATCTTATTTTTGTTCTGCTATATGTTTCTTCTCAGTTAACACTAATAAGATTTTATTATCATCTTTTTTGCACTCAATTGGTTCTTCTTACTGCAAACCCCATACACCACCTGTACACATGATATTCATGCTCAGAGAGTCCTAATTGTCAACAATTTACTCTTTTTTTGAAATTCTCTTATTTGCTCCCCCTCTCTGTTTCTATCAGAAGAAAGTTGTTATGCTGCTCCTTCATGGGAGAGGACATTTTGCTCTTATGTGTGCCGAGTTCCTTGGAGAAAAATATGCGACGCCGATAGAGTATTGTGCATCCACAAGAACATCGCCAACTGGGACGATTCTGCAGGACGAGAAGCATTCCAAAATGCGAAAGCACGCTATTGGGCAAAAATTAATGGTCTCCCTTGTAATATTCCGCTGCCTGATCCATACATGTACGTTGAAAAGGTTGATTTTGATACTTTTGTCGATCCCAAGCTCACTGCAGATTTAGAAAGAAGTTTCTTCAATCCCGATGTGAATAATGAATCCGCCGCAAGTCATTTGGATTCTTCTGAACATAAACCCGTGCCTCCAAGAAGTTGTGGTGAGGCGGAGCAATCTTCCTCAAATTGGGACAAGTATATTGAAAAGCCAACTTTAGCTTCAGTATGGGATGAAATGGCTGCCAAAAATAGTTGGGGGGATGGAATTGCACAAAATGATCCATGGCAAAGCAGAAGAATTTATTCAATGGATGCTGATGGAAGGGAAGCTTCGTGTGGAGTTAGCTGGAAAGATCAGGATGAAGCATGGAGGCATCACCAGAGCTGGAAAAATGGTGAGGATAGAAGAAATAGTGATTGGAAGAACATGAATTCAAGCTGTACAGTACATGATGATAGAATGAACAGTAGTTGGAAGTTTTCTGGTAGCAGCGGCAGGAATAACTATTTGTTTGAGAAGAAGGTGCAGCCCCAGAGGACATGGCAGCGCGGTCAGTTTTTAGGATCAAGGAGTGATCAAAGAACAGGATATTCTGGTGCTCAATTTCAATGGGAGAATGCAGTTTCATAGTGTTGTTCTTGAAGATGGAGTTTTGATTTATACCTTGATGATTCATATAGGGGAAGCAAAGCTTCTGATATATTTTTCCATCAGAAGGGGGCCTCAAATTTGCTGGATTTGTTTTGAGATGAGCGCAATGTGAATTATTCATGTATGGTGCTGATCTCATGATGAATTCAATGATTTTTAGGCTTATTCTAATCAAAATTGTATCTGAATATTCTGATATAGTTTTTTTTTTTGGGGAAATTTACATACTTAGCACACAATTTTCTTACATTTACATATCTCACACCTAAGTTTTCATATTTAAATAAATAGAAAATTGATTTTTTTTCTTTATTAACTCTATGCATGTATTTTACTTTAAAAAGTGATAATAGTGCCATGTTTGACATGATATTAAAAATTCAAGTGCTTTGTGTGTAAATAGGAAAGTTTAGGTGTGAGATATGTAAATATATAAGAATTGTGAGCTTTGTATGTAAATTTCCTTTTTTTTTTTAAATTCAATAGAAGAGTGTATCTGGATATTGGTTTTACAGTAGTGTTCTATTGTTAAGCTATTTCATGTTTAAATGAAAAAAGTGTTGAATTAGGTGCATGCTTATTAATGTTGTTTTTATGTGAAATTTTAATTTTCTTCTTATTATTATTATTTTTAGCAAGGAGAAATTATTATTTTTAACAAGGAGAAATACATGAAATTTGATTAAATTTTATTAATTTATAATTTTTTGAAAACAAAATGTGAATATGATGATTGCAGATGAGAAGCAAGATTATTATATTCACTCTAATGTGAGAGGGCTTATTCGGTACGGAATTCGTACCTATGGCCTCCAATCATTTTACGCTACGTAATGAACATCATTAAAAAAAAAAAATTAAAATTTTAAAATGGGCCTCACTTTCATACAGCTTTTAAGGGAGGGGTTGCTTATATGTAATAATTTTTCCTAATGTGGGTGGCAGCCATAAAATTTACCATTCTTTTTCATTGGTGTTATAAGAAGCTTAGCCTTATAGTTGTAAGCTTGACTCAATCTTTTTTTGAATCAACTCAGGACCAAATTATTTTTAGTTGAGCCAGCTCGGCTTGATTCTTTTTTTATTTTATGTTGAATTTGAGTCAAGCTGTAATCCAAAGTTTCTAATCAAGTCGAGTGAAACTTGCCCAAGTGGATTTATTATCAGTCTATATGACAACCCAACCCGAAACTTGGAATTAACTAAGACGGATACAGACTGTTAGTTGGTGAAAAATAAAATTTTATATAGTCATTTTTTATAACTAACATTTAACATATGAGATAGTCACTGAAAAAGTAAATTAAAATAGTTTAATTAAATTTATCTAATTACTAATTGTTCGTGTTTTCTATAAATATTTTATTTTCTATCGCTAATCTTTTAACACTTAATTAAAACTGAAATATTAGTTTAAAACAACAATGAGCTTACTATAGCTAGTGAATGTTCATACTCCAAAACTGTTGCAACAAAATAAAAAAAAAAGAATAACACACATACCGGTTAAATTTTATGCAAATCAATCTAAGAGCATTTGAATGTTTCTACTATCAAATATGTTCAATGTAATTTTAAATATTTATTGTTTTACAATATCATTTACATATCAATATATTTTTAATATGTATTTAACCGTCATAAGTGCACTGTTTAAAAATTTGTATCAATTAAGGCACTTCAATATCAATATTCTTTTCCATTTTCGTGCACGAATGCCTTAATGTTTCCTCTTTAGTATCATAAAAATGTGACTACATTATAACCTTGTGGAGCAAGATTTGAGAGAGGATGATTTTACTGACTTTATTGATGAATTTACTCTATTGGTAGAGGATAATCCAAAGATTTTTAGGGAGAGGTTTGAGTTACTGGATGCCAGTGAACATTTTAAGCCTCTAATCCCTTCCATTGAGGAAGCATCTAAACTTGTGATGAAGGTGCTTCCCAAATATTTAAAGCATGCTTACTTGGAGAAGTCAACTACATTGCCAATGATCATCTCATCAAAACTGAGCAGTTTACAAGATGAAAAATTGATGAGTGTTTTAAGGAACTTTAAGAAAGCTTTTGGATGGACTCTAACAGATATAAAGGGAATTAGTCATTCGATATGTTTGCATAGGATCCTTATGGAAGCCGATCATAAATTTAGGACAGATCCTCACAGAAGATTAAACCTTGTCATGAAAGGCGTCGTTAAAAAAGAGATAATGAAGTGGCTTGATGTAGGTATTATCTACCCCATTTCAGATAGTGTCTGGGTTAGTCTTATATATTGTGTTCCTGAGAAATGGGGAGTGATTGTATTAGTCAAATACTATTTTTTAGCTCTTGGATTTGCTTAAGCTGGCTATCATTGCTAAACCAAGTCATTTCCTTGGTTCACTTAGGGAACTTCATTTAACCATCCAAACTTCAATCTAACTAAATGAGAAGTTGTTCCCTCACCCAACACCTCCAAACTTGAAATCTATCAAAGCCTGTCACTACCTTGAGTACTTGTTGGATTGTTGTGAAAAACGACGACAGTAAAGCTAAAAATTAGAAAGAGAATTTTCAAAAAAAAAACACAGATTTATGTGGTTCAACAAATTACCTACATTCACGGAGTTACAGAGAATTTTATTATTTTGAGAATCGACTTACAAGAAACTCTCTCTCTTCCTCTCTCTCTCTCTCTCTCTCTCCTCTCCTCTCCTCTCCTCTCCTCTCTCTCTAACGACTAGCCACGTCGAGAAGAAGAAGAAAAACCGTGGAGCAGCCTTACAATATTATTCTTCCCGTAAGCACACAGCAGAAGCAAGAAGATGGAGTCGTAAGAATACATGCAATTCCTTCCCGCTCTACTTAAATGGTTCAATATAAGGCCCATTAAGGCAAACTTTCAATTGCCAAATATCACTTCCAATAATTGTCGAACAACAAATGAGGAAACAACATTAATTCACGAATCTAAATCAGTCGGCGGGAGAGCAAGGAGGCAATTAAGGAAATTCTGAAATTAAAACTCAGTTTTTGGGGAACAATAGGAAGGCGAGATTCTCTATAGGAAGGTATAGGAGAAGCTAGAAAGGATATAAATATTCTAATATCATAATAAGAAACCTCCAAAAGAAGCGAAGTGGACCGGGCTCGACAATACCCAACAATTCTCCCACTTGAGACTGGGACACTAGCTGCATCGTCCTCTTCCTCAAACGTGATATCCTACACCTCTGCAACTAAAGCCCCTATCTTCAAACTAGAAGATTAACTGAAGCTAAGCACAACTTAAATTTCTCAAGAGTAACAACCTTTGTCAACATATTAACAAGATTCTTGCTTCCACAAATTTTCTCAAGTAGCAATTGTCTGTCATCTAACAATGGTCAAAAGAAGTGATACCAGATCTGAATGTACTTAGTTCTGGATTGAAATACTGAATTCCTGACAAGAAATATGACGCTCTGACTATCACTGTAGAGAGTGCCCTTTTGAACCTCCTTACCCAATTCTTCGAAGAAACTTTGTATCCATATCATCTCATTTGTAGCCTCTGACATTGCAATATACTCAGCCTCTATAATGGACAAAGAAATTTTCTTCTGTAGATTTGAGCTCTATGACACTGCAGTACCACCAAGAGTGTAAACATAACATGTAGTACTCTCTCTACTATCAATGTCTCCAGCTAAATCAACATCAACGTAGTCATGCACCTCCAAGATCTTTCCTAAGAAACACAAGCAGGTTTCTGAGGAGCCTCTTAAATATCTCAAGATCCACTTCACAGCTTC